CAAATACAGAAGTATTTCTCGGCGCAAATTGTTGAATACCGAAACACGCCGCTACGCCAAGCACTTATAATTTCCCCGATTCTGCGCCGATACGCCGACCACCTTCGCGATTCCACGCCGGAGATCTCCGGCGTGGAGTGCATGGAATGCACTCTGGTATTAATATTAAAAAATTAACATTGAAATACAGATGAGATCGATTTGCGTGAATAGTCGATACATTTGGCGCTCGACAATTACTATATATACCCAAATTCTGTGATAAAATAGACGAAGTTAAAGCATTTTGGTTGGTTTGAAAAGCGTAATACGAAACAAACGTGTGAATTCGCCGCAACTTTTAAATATACGCACCAAATATATCCGTTTCACTTAACGCTAGTTGAATATTCCGTGTTTATGTAGCCTCTCGATCTTGTTATAATTCCCCCAGCGGCGGTTTCATTAAATGAAAATATCTTCATCGGTATTTGAGCCAACGTATTCATTAGGCCACCAGAAGAGTTAAAGCACTTGACCACGGTAGAGTTATATTGGATAAACAGCATAAACTGCGTCTCACTGGATCGTACATCGATACTTGAGCCAACGTATTCTTTTGTCCACCAGACGAGTACAAGTCCTTGCCCGTGGCAGAGTTATGTAATTGAATAAACTACGTCTCACTGAATCACATATCGGTACTTGAGCCAACATATTCCTTTGTCCACCAGAAGAGTAAAAAGCGCTTGCCCGTGGTAGAGTTATATTTTGAAAATCTTTCAATAATGTTACTCTGTCGACATCTCAGAGTAAATTACGTTATTTTGCATGAACTCGTGCATGTTATGTGCCAATTAGGATGGGCTGTGTTGTGCCCTATGATTGGTCAAAGCCCAGAACAGAGTCGTACAAGGTTTTCAATTGGTTCACAGTGTGTTTCACGGTTTGTTCACGTGAATGTGTGCTAGCTGGCAGAAGATGATCTTTGACCCATCTGTCAAGACCTTTGACCTCACTGTCAAAGATTAGGTTGATATAAACCATATCTACCTCCTCATCTTACCATCACACCTTGTCTCATTAACTTAAATTTATATAGGCTATAAATTTGCTAATACGGCAAGTTCAAGTACAAAAAAATTAATTGAATTATTGGATGTTTATCAGTTAAAACAACGCGCTTATGTCATCATGTCCTGCAATTTAGTTTAACTTAGGTTATTAATCTCAATTTGCAGCTCATATTCAGTCACAGGCTCTATAAACATAGTTTCAACATAGTTACAATTAAGGTAGCTTTCATATGTTATGTTATTATTATTTTTTTATAAATAAATATGGGCCTGGGCACCAAGCAAGATGGAGGTTGTTTTATCACTCCGTAAAATGCTGACTCAATCTCTATCAATCCGGTATCAATGATTACTGTTCTTTTACTATTTATATATTATAATGTCCTTCTAAGCATATTCGTCAATATGGCAACAGAAATAAAAAATTGGAGGCTATTTTTGACCGAAAAGGCTATTTGGAGGCTATTTGTGGCCTTTATTCTCGAAATTCGACGATTTAAATACTAAAGTTGATGAAGCTATATGTGTTCGTTATCGTTTCCGAGTGCAAAATATGATGAGCTAAATGATAAAGCTATAAACATGGAAGCAGGTATGAAAAAGCTAAAAGATGAGAACTCTGTTTTAAAACGCGATCTTGCTAACACAAAGGGTGAAAATCAGGATCAATTGAAAATTGCTCAAGACGAAATTGAGCAGTATGGAAGACGAGAATGTGTCGAAATAAGAGGGATTCCCTTGGTTCCTGACGAGAATACCAATGAAATTGTTATAAAATTGGCATCTAAACTTGGGATTGATATTACCGAAACTGATATATCTATTAGTCATCGCTTGGGGACCCCAGCTGCTGGCAGTACCCGTTCTGGTCGTTCTTTCAGTACAATACCAGTGCCAGCTATATGGACTGGAATTAGGGACATAGTTATAATCCAAAAACAAAGAGCACTCAGGGAATACAAAGTAAAATAGTTGAGAACAATATCGAAATCACAGATACTAAAACAATTGCTGATACATTTAACAAATACTTTTCTTCAATTGGTTCAAGAATTGTTGACTCGATTAGTTCTAATGGTATTTCACCCCTTGAATACATGGATTGTTCAATACCAACTATAACTTTTTTCTCTCACCAGTCACTGCAAATGAGATTCAACTGGAAATTGCCAAAATCAATATATCAAAAACAAGTGGTCCTTTTAGTATTCCAACAAAGCTGCTAAAAAATTTATATTGCAATATATCTGAACCATTAGAGATTTTGTATAATTGTTCCTTTAGCACTGGTGTTGTCCCAGATAAATTTATGATTGCTCAGATAGTGCCAATATTTAACTAGGGATCCAAGTATTATACAGCTATTTCAATTAAGGTTGTCCACGAGTAAAGCGGAAAAGTCGAATACGAGCGCGAAAGGCTGCTGGGAATCGCTTTGAAAATTCATTAATTTGCTAGCGATTCCCAGCAGCCTTTCGCGCTCGTATTCGCCTTTTCCGCTTTGCTCGTGGACAACCTTAATTGAAATAGCTGTATCTCTTCTTGATGTCTTATCTAAACTACTTGAAAGGCAGGTGTATGATGGTGTATTTATTATCATTTCCCACATTTTTCTCAACGGTAGGTAACATGGTTTCTTGCCTGGTAAGTCAACTGTATCACAACTATCTCAAGTAGTTCACCTGGTTGGTAAGGCTCTTGACAAGAGGCAGCAAGTAGATGTAATATATCTCGATTTCTCCAAGGCATTTCTATTAACTAATAGAAAACAAAGAGTTGTGATTAACAATATTTCATCTAACTTTCTTCCTGTAACTTCTGGGGTTCCCCAGGGGTCAATCCTAGGCCCCCTACTCTTCTTAATCTTTGTTAACGATATGCCTAATGTAATATCAAAGGACACATCTTTACCACTCTTTGCTGATGATTCCAAGTTTTTTCGCCTAATACTAGGTCAGAAGGATGGGGATGAATTACAAGATGATTTAAATAAATTATTGACGTGGTCATACACCTGGGGAATGGAGTTTAATACTAGTAAATGTAAGGTCCTTAGAGTTGCTCGGATTAAATCTGTCTTAGCCTGCGTAACGGCTCTCAGAGAAAGTAGAGCCTGCACGAAACCCCCTGCTTAGCCGTATTTACTCGTTCTCTCAGAGGACGAGAAATCTGATTGGTTCAAAATGAAAAAAAATATGCTAATTTATGCTAAAATTGATACAAACACGGCGGATGTATTATTGAGAGGCGTTTCTTTGAGTTTTGCATTCAAAAGAACTTAAAGGCCACGATTTACGGTTGAACATTAAAGTTTATATTTACGAACTTGGTTCACGAAGCTCTAGAGATATTGACTGTGGTGTCTTCGTTGGATTGCTGTCTGTTAGCAGTGCCTCTTTCACAACTCACGAGCGTGTTCGTTTTCATAAATTCATCGACGACAAATAGATTTTTTCTTCATGATTTTGTAGCTAATAATTTTGTGCCAGGAGAGAATTGCTATAAATGCTTATGTCTTATGAACAGGACTTGCTCTCTGTGAAGTGATGGCTCTAAAGGTTTAATATTCTCTTATCAGCATCGCTCGAAACTTTAACATTTAAATGTAATACATCACGGTTGACCGCTGTCAAAACTATAAATTATATTTGTACGTGTGCGAGAAGGCTACGAAATATCGTAGATACGGACTGCAAACTACTTGTGACAACGATGGAGATTGCCCTAGGCCTAACGCTATTCCCACAGACTTCAATTTTCTTTAGCCGCCATCCGTATATTACAGTATTTCGTTTTGAAATTTGCGAACATACAGCAATCTATATTTATATTTCATTTTGATAAGTAAATTTGCAAACGTAACCAATCTGTGTGATTGGTCAATTTTGACATCTGTTTAAAGTGGGCGTAGTCCGCAGGCTAAGTGGGCGGAAATGGCAAAGCAGGGGGTTTCGCGCAGGCTCTACTTTCTCTGAGAGCCGTTACGCAGGCTAAATCTGTCTCTGAGAGAGACTATCACCTTGGAGGAATAAAGTTAGAACGAGTGGTTGTTGAAAAGGATGTTGGTGTTTTGATTAGACAGGATTTGAGCTGGAATGATCATGTTGATTTTATTATAAGTAAGGCCCAAAAAATGTTAAAACTCTTATATCGTACATGCGAAAATATTTGTGATGTTAAAACAAAAAAAAAATACTAAGTAATCTGGGTTAGATCTCGCCTACCAGGTACCAAGATAAATATATCAAGATACCAAGAGAAATATATCAAGTTTAGAAAAAGTGCAGAGGAGATTTATTATTGGCAGTATGAACGAGTGAGTATGAACGCTTAAGTATGTTGAATTTACTTCCTTTACAATATCGAAGAGAAATAAATGACATCATCTTCTTCGTCTTCAAATGCTTCGAGAATATCTATGCAGTTGATATATTTGAGTATATTTCTTTTCGCTCCTGTTGCAAGTCACTTAGAAATGTAGACCATTTAACTCTTGCCATCCCTTTTAGCAGGACTGAAGCTTTTACGAACTCATACTTTGTACGTATTTGTCATCTTTGGAATGACTTACCGCTTGTGATAAGAGAATCTAATAACTTTTCGTAATAGGTTACTTCAATTTTATAAAGATAAATTTTCTGAAACCTTTTTGTTGTATAATAATAATTAACTAGTATGTAAATAATAATTTATAATAGTGACTGAGTAGGATGGAGCCGATTAGTGGTTAGGCTTCAAATATATTTGTACTTGATTATATATGCATTCTTATTTGTATTCTTATTGTAGGCTAATAGATTAACTCACATCAGGTGGCTTATGATAGGGAATCTTGAATATATTATAATTATATATTATAATTATATGCAATTTGTAATTTAATTTGATGTATATTTGGAAATTGATTAAAGTTTAAAGTTTAAAGTATTTTTTCAGTGATACAATGATACGAAGTGAAAATAAGAAAACGTAACTATTATAAATCCCTCGTATTATAAAATCCACACCCAAACATAAAATTTGTCTTACACAGTACATTATCAAGTATTTACTGAGACCGAGGGAAACAGTGCATATGTTTTGTGGACCCGAATGCAAACCATCCTCGTCCCCAGGGCCTCTCGGCCGCGTGCGTCCTCCCTAGGCCCTGGGACACACGGAACCGGAAGTGCAAGAAAACTTGCAGTAGTTTCTAAAGCGCATGCTCTTGAATTGGGACACTTTAGCACCCGTAAGAATTTTCACAGTGAAGTATTAAGAAGAAACGAAGTATTTGTGTTGACATATGTTGACAGAATAATTTTGCCCAGCGAAAACTGCTCAACTTCTGCGAAATGGCAGTTCTCTGAGAAGCCAATCAGATCTCTTCCTTTAGTCGTCTAT